TTTTTTTTTTTTTTTTTTTTTTTTTTTTTTTTAATTAATGTCTTGGTTTGATGTTTTGTTTTATAATGGCATTTTTAAGTGTGGCTCAGCTGTGCAGATACTTTTTGGAGCCACTGTACATAGGAAATATTTCCAGTAGATTAACTTGTTGAAAGAATTATGCACTTTTTAAAATCTATTTATTTATTTATTTATTTTGAAATGTTGACCTACAAGTTTTAAAGGTCAGTCTATAGTGCATTAACTTCAGGACCATACATATCCAGTTCTCAAATACCACAAAACAAGACTTTTTAGTCCTGTGTAGGACTACTGCTCTACTGTTTTGATATACAATTTCAAATTGTATTTAAAATCCATGATTAAATGTATCAGAACTGATGCACACTGCTTCTGTTTCCTGTTTCCAACAGAACCATCAGTGTTCAATCTGCAAGAGTGTGAGTGATCTAGCTGACAGGTGTCTTTGTGGCACCTCTCATCAGTAGTTATGGGTACGGCATCCTCTCTGGTGAGCCCCAGTGAGGTGATTGAGGATGCTTACGGTGGTGAGGGAGGTGAGGCGTGTGAGATACCGGTGGAGGTGAAGCCAAAGGCACGTCTGCTGCGGAGCTCCTTCCGCCGCGGGCCTCGTGTCATCGGCGCCAGCTTCAAATCTACCGGATCGGTGGAACTGGAGTACGCCGCTGAGTATGAGCGCCTCAGGAAAGACTACGAGATCTTTAGGGTCAGCAAGAACAATGAGATCGCCTCCATGCAGAAGAAAGAAGCCAAGCTGGATGAGGAGAACAAGAGACTGCGTGCTGAGCTGCAGGTTTGAGAGAGAATAAGAAAATCTGATCTTTTTATGTGGGTCAGTGACAAAAAAGAGTGTTGGACAGAAATAAAGAAAAATGAGAAAAGAAAATGAGGAAAACAAAGAAAAATGATTTTAAAAATCTAGTTTGAAACATCTACCAAGTTTTTAGGAATGTTCTGCTTGTATTAATCTTGGTTTTATACTATTTTTAAGAAAAACTGCATTTAATGGTTCAAAATGTCATTTAGTACACTATGACTGCATGTGACGGTACACATCTTAATTTTGAAAAACTTATTACAATATATTTTTCAAGGTAAAATTTATATCTAAATCTTTTCAATTTTAAATAAATATTTATTTACAGTTATGATGATTTTTCCTTTCTATGATTTTCTTTGATGTTTTGTGTTTTTAATGCATATTTTTGGCTGCGCCACATGACTTTAATTTAGTAGGAAAAAGTTTATTAAAGAATTATAAACGGTGTAGCAGTTTTGTTCATTTTTTTTTCTAATAAACAATTATAATAGATTATACCAAAAATGTCATTCTTTTAATTGTGTTTTCCTTCATTTTAATATCAGGACAGTTCAGTAAGATATAACACTTTTTGACTTTATGCCCCCCAAAATATCAAAATGATTTTTTTTTTCTATTTTTGAAGGAAATTTAATTTTCTATCTGAAATATTATTATTATTATTGGTATTATTTGCTTCACTGTACTAAAGAGTGGTCTTTAGACTGTCTCTGAGTGCTTTAGTTTGCTTCAGTATGCTTGAGTTTTCGATAAGCTGAGAGATAACAGGAAATCGATATAATGTGTGTGTGAGACAAGTGTGAGATGAGAAATACTATTTTATACCTAGCTTCTTAAAAGATTATTTGCATTAAATACTTAGAAACACATCTAGGGGACATAGTTGGACACCTTTAATGGACACATATCTTGAGTATGCATTATGATTGGTTGAGATAGAAGCATCCTGATTTGAGTAGGGTATAAATACTGAGTTAAGGTATTTTCTCTTTGTCGCAATCTACAGCCAACACTGAATGGCAAGAAAATAAATCTTCAAAAGACTTTTGTCTCATACCTTTATTGAAATAGAAAACTGCCCGACACTATTAATTAATCAAAAACTTGAATTATCATAGAACAAGTGTATACAAATCATTGTATGTACAGTATGAACTGCATTTTAATAAATTTTTGAATATCTTTTGAATCAATAGAAATATAGAATGTTCCAAATGCAAAGAAATTCTGAAATTAATGTTAATTTTCTCAACATTTCTATCAAACTACTTAAGGTTTGCTGATTCTGTGTTTCTCTGGTTGTCAGGCTCTTCAGAAGACTTACCAGAAGATTCTTCGAGAGAAGGAAAGTGCCCTGGAGGCAAAGTATCAAGCCATGGAGAGAGCTGCCACCTTTGAGCACGACAGAGACAAGGTCAAACGGCAGTTTAAGGTGTGAATCTTATTCTCTTCTCTCTCTCTCACAGTAACTTTAAGAACTGACTTATTAAAAATTATTACCTTGCACAATCCTAAATCTTCCCAAGACTGTCTTATCTCTTTAGCCTCTAGCTGTTCTAGTTTCAGTTTGCCTGTCACTGCATTCTTTACCTCACCAATGTGTTTCCTTCATCTTTATTTCTGTCCTAAATCACCCGGTAGATATTCCGGGAGACTAAAGAAAAGGAAATTCAGGATTTGCTGCGGGCAAAACGAGATCTGGAGTCAAAACTTCAGCAGCTGCAGGCTCAAGGCATTCAGATTTATGATCCAGCAGACTCGGATTCAGACGACAACGGCGCCACTGTCACCAGTAAGAATGTGGCAGATCAATTTCACAAGAGAAACTAGATCTTTACACTTTCTGAAGAAAATGAGCATCCACATGTGATGCATGATGCAGATTTCTCACACTGACTCAACTTTATTTGAAAGAGGAAGTAGCTCTTTCAAAGATAGTTGGATAGATAGTTCTTATATCTATTTTTAAATCTGGTTCAGTTCGGTGCATGTCATTTTAAAAGTGTCTGTGTATCTATATATCTTTATGATAATTTATTTATTTACTTTTTTGTTGATCTATTTATTATTTAATTTAAATTGTTTATCTTTTTGTTTATATATTCATTTATTAATTGATGTATGCGTCTGTTATTTGTTTATTATTTATTTATTTGTTTGTTTTAATTTGTTTATCTGTTTCTTAATTAAACTATGTGTTTATTTATTTTAATTTGTTTATCTTTTTCTATCTGTCTGTCCACCTGTCCATCCAATTGTTTATTTAATTTGTGTATTTATTTATTTATTAATTTGTTTGTTTGTTTATTGATTTTCATTTATTTTAAATGTGATTATTGTCTATACCTAGCAAAAGTATTAAACGGTAAATAAAAAGTAATTTATAATTATTATAATTTTTTTGCTACTGTACAGCTAAATATCTACAAAACTCTAGAGTGAAGCATTGTGAAACCAAAATTTCAATACCAGTGCATCCCTAATGTCCACTCTGTGTGCAGCTGCAGGAACTCAGTGTGAGTACTGGAGTGGTGGCGTGTTGGGCAGCGAGCCGTCCATGGGCAGTATGATGCAGTTACAGCAGACACACAGGGGTCCAGAATTCGCTCACAGTCTCATCGACGTGGAGGGGCCGTTTGCCAATGTCAGCAGAGGTGAGTTTGCACCTGTGTGTGCAGTTGTAGGTATGCTTGCATGTATGCTGATTTTTTTGTGTGCTGTTTCAGATGATTGGGATGCAGCTGTAGCCAGTCTGCTGCAAGTTTCTCCTCACGTCTCTCAGGCTCTGTGGAGTAACACAATCCGCTGCTACCTCATATACACACAGGAGACCAGAGCGGAGATGCAGACCTTTATACAGGTACACATGCTTAGATAACACATCTTAAATACATGCATTCTCACATTTTAACACTCTTCATCCATTTGTCTCTCTCTTTCAGACTCATTCTTTGAGGCTGCAGAGGTTTTGTGAGGGTTTGGGTCATTTCTACCTGAACGTGTCATTTCCTGAGGAGAAAGCCGCTCTGTATGCTGCTGAACGCAGGCAGGAGATCGAGAGGAGCTCTGTGTGTGTGCTGCTACTCAAGTCCTCAGTGTCCAGGTGATACTCTATCTTTGTATCTTACTTTTTTTATCATGTTATTGTTGATATGAATCACATGAATGTGTTTTGCTGTTTTAGTTGTGTTGTGGAGGATGTGGAGGAAGCATTTGTGAAAACCCCAGACTCTCGGCCTCTCTTGCTGTATTTGCGAACTGGTGACAGAAAAGGAGAAAAGGAAGAGGTGTCCACCCTCAGTCCATCCACTAGAGACTTGCTGGAGAGAGTTAACAAAGCTGACAAGAGTGCCAAACTTAAAGTAATTTCAAATGATTCATATGGGTTTAAAAATTCTACTGAAAGTTCTAAAGGTTTTTTCTGTCTTTTTTTGTTGTTGTTGAAAGATCATAAGGGTTTCAAGGGTTTTTCTGAAGCTTCTATAGGTTATAAAGTTCCTTTTAAGATTCATTTATATAGCACTTTTAAGTTTCATATATAGCACCACTATGTGGTGGTAATACTTTAACCCTCTTACGCTTTTAGAAAAAGGATCACACCTTGACTGTATGCGGTCATTTTTGACTGTGAATATTAAGTAAGATGTTTTTAAAGAAATTATTGAATATCTAAACAAGTTACCAGGTTTTGAACCACTCAGATTGAGGAAACCATAAAAAAATGAAAATGAAATTAGTAAAACAATGTCCAAAAAACCTATAAGGATTAAAGGAATTTCAAATATAAAAAAAAGATACTGTGAAGTGTGCAGTTCACATTCACGCTTTATTTTTGATGAATTATTCTTTGCTGCTTTTTTTTCTGCAGGTAGTGGATTATGCAGGGTCTGTAGAGGGTGGAGCTGCTCTTATCTTCACTCAACTTGAAAGAATTATCAAACAGGTACACACACACCCACAGGAAAACACATGTGGGTGTTGGTGTTAATAGCATGCTTGTAGTTTGTCCATAGTGTTCTCAGATCATGAACTTGAGATATGATTGGGTTAAAAATCACCCAGCTGTCAAGAGCTTTATAAATACTGGGCAGCACACATGCTGGGTTAAACTAACAATGCAAGTAGGGTTGCTTATCATTGTCAGCCAATATATTTTACCTTATAAATGCTTACTATTTTAAATATTTACAGCAAAAATAATATATGTAATAGATTAACAGTGAAATTAAATAGGTTTTTAGGTCTACATGAAAATACAGTAGGAGCAGCCTCAGTGGACTGGCAAGTGAAAATGACTGTTGATAGTCCAGATTGGAACAGAAAAACCAGAAGTGGGTAACTTAGAGATTGTGTATTGTTTCTACTGTTAGTAAAACTGACCCAGCCACTGAAGTAAAAAAAAACAACGACCTAACACTGAAAGTAACCCGAGCGTTTGTGTAAAAATATAAGCATTGTTAGAATGTGGTTCACTATTTAAGGTTCTGAAAGAGGAACATCTTAAGGAGATGCATGATGTTAAACAGAAAGAGACATTTCTACAAGATTTTTCTCTCTTTCTTCAGGAGTTGTTGGGATTGGAGTTAGAAGAGAGTGGAGAGGTGGAGGAGAGAGAAGAGGAAGACTCTGGTGATGTGCTGTGGGACCTTCATGATGAGCAGGAGCAGATTGAGGCGTTCCAGCATGCTTGCAGCGCTGCTTCCAGATTCAGCTTCCAGAAGGCACGATGGCTCTCTGTTATCATTTTCTGTATTGTTCATTATGGACCTAGTATTTTAACTGATGAGTAGGTCCACAAGAAATCTGAAGGAAGATCTGTATTCTGTATTTGACGATAACTGAAAGTACTACACACATATTGATAGCTAAAATGATTATTATCAGAGTAACCAAATATTGAATTAACTGTAGCCTATACGAATGGCAGGAAATGTGTAAATTCAATGAGTTGAATGCTGTATTGATTCTTTTTACAGTATGTTGACCAACTCAATGACATGGTAGCCGCCCCTCCACCCACCCCACCACTGCTGGTATCTGGTGCACCTGGATCGGGCAAATCACTTTTGCTCGCTAAATGGTTGTTTCATCTTAACTCTAAATATTAAGTATTATTGCACAATAATGATATAGGTCAATTTTCACATAGTAAAAAATATGTCATTTCTCTGCAGGATAGAGTTACAGCAGAAACACTCTCCCAACACCCTCATTCTGTATCACTTCACAGGACATCCTCTTTCTACCAGCACAGATCCAGTGCTCATCATTAAGCGCCTCACAGTGAAGGTCAGACACAGATACACACGCTCATTTCACTCTATTTAGCTCCTTAAACTGTGAAAAGAACAGAGACAGAGACCAGCATCTGTTTCGTTATACCTAGCACTTTATGACACGCAGCCTGCACTGTATAGGGCTTTTCACACTGGAAATTGATAAACCATTGTCATATTTAACCCTAACGTTACTATAATCCTGGGTTGTCTTATTTTATGCTATTTATACTTTGTTTTGGGACGGTCGATTTTGCCATCATTGGTCGACATTTTCAGATGTCCCCTGAGGATGAAACTATACACAATTATAACTACAGTGCCATTCAAAAGTTGATAAGGGGTTGATAAGATTTTTTTTTTAAAAGAAGTATCTTAAAAGATCACCAAGGCTGCATTTATTTGATCACAAACACAATAAAAACATTAATATTGTGAAATATTATTACAATTATACATAATTGTTTTCTTTTTTTACTATATTTTAAAATGTAATTTATTCCTGTTACTGTGCTGTTTTTTTTCTTTCAAGATTCTTTGAATAGAAAGTATAAAATAAAAACATTTATTTGAAATGGAAATCTTTTTTAATACTATAAATGTCTTTAGTGTTACTTTTGATGAGCTTAATGTGTTCATTTTTTTAATCATATTATTCAATTTATTAATTCATTCAAAAAAAAAAAACTAAAGAAATAAAATCTTACTGACCCTAAACTTTTGAACAGTAGTAGACAACATGTTGTCTGCAATATTAAATAACTGGCTTTTATATTGTTAATGTATGGAGGCCAAAGCTAAATTATTAAAAGATAATATGTTAAATATTGATTTTGTAATAAATGTTTTTTTGATAAATGTCCCTTTTAAAGGAATCCTAGATGTACAGTGGAGATCAAAATTACAATCCATAAATACTTGATTTTCTCTAAAATATTGTAAATCTTCATCGCTCAAAATTTGAAGGAATATTAGCTGTGGGTATACCACTGATCCACTAACATGTTTGACAAAATAACCACGGCATTTAAACACCTTTATTTTGTGGAAAACACAGTGATCAAAATTAGAGAACAGTAACAGCTGTAGCACGAAAGAAGATTACAACTAAAATTTTGGAGGGTCACAGCTGTCAAAAATTAGTAGGAAGTGTACAGGCCCTCGGTTTGAGTGACTTCAGCACATCTGCGACTGCAGAATATCGTGAGTGAGTGAGTGAGTGAGTGAGTGAGTGATTGAGTATGGTGACCAGGGCAGGACTTACGGGGCCGGGGGCCCCTGGGCTTGAGGTTATGTTTGGGCCCCATACCTATACTACAAATGCC